GAAACCTAAGAAATATCTTTCTAGACATTGCCCTTGGTATCTAAGTTATGACTTGGTCACCAAAAGCAATTGCAACAAAAACAGAAATTGATGAGTGGGAACTACTTAAAAGAGACTATCAACAGAGTAAATAGATAATCTGTAGAATACGAGGAAGTGTTTATAAACTATGCATCTGACAAAGGTCTAATATCCAGCATCTATAAAGAAGTTAATTCAGCAAGCAAAGAACAAACACCCCATTAAAAATGACAGAACATGAACAGGCACTTCTCAAAAAAAAAAAACCTACAAGCAACTAACAAACCTATGAAAAAATGTTCACTAATTATCAGAGAAATGCAAATCAAAAACCAAAGTGAAATACCATCTCACATCAGTCAGAGTTAAAAAGTCAAAAAAAATAACAGAGGCTGTTGAGGTTATGGAGGGGGGAAAAAAGCACTTATCTATTGTAGGCGAAAATGTAAATTAGTTCAGCAACTGTGGAAAGAAGTTTCGAGATTTCTCAAATAACTAAAAATGGAATTACCATTTGACTCAGCAATCTCATTACTGGGTATGTAACCAAAGAAAAATAAATTGTTCTGCCAAAAAGACACATGGACTTACATGTTCATCACAGCACTTTTCACAATAGCTAAGACACGAATCAACCTGGGTGTCCAACAGTGGCAGATTGGATAAAGAAAATGTGGTAACTATGCACCATGGAGTATTACACAAACATAAAAAAGAATAAAAGCATGTCCTTTGCAGCAAAACTGATGCTGCTGGAAACAATTACACTAAGTGAATTAATGCAGGAACAGAAAAACAAATGCTGAGTGTTCTCACTTATAAGTAGGAGTTAAATATTGGGTACACATGGACATAAAGATGGGAACAATAGATACTGGAGACTTACAGAGGAGGGAGGGAAGGAGGGGAGCAAGGGCTAAAAAACCACATATTGAGTACTATGCTCTCTACCTGGAATACAGGATCACTTATACCCCAAACCTCAGCATTATGAAACATACCATGTAACAGACTTGCACATGAACCCCAGAACCTACAATAAAAGTTGAGATTCAAAACAAAAACATGCAAAAAAGGGAAGAGGTGCCTGTGGTCCCCATCACTTGAAAGTTGTGGAGGTATAAAGGAATCAGCAAAATAGAAGAATAAAGAGTGGTTATAAGGCAGCTAGTAGTGTGGAATATGATATCCTGTAACCCATATAAAGAGTGTTCCAGGAAAGATAGAGTGATTAACTATCAATGCTTTAGACAGTTTTCATATAAGCAATAACTGAAAAAAATGCTATATTTCACAAATAATAAGAAATAAAATGTATGAGCATGATGACAAGTAATAAAGAGTAAATATTTATAAAATTTTAATTGCTGATATTTTAGACAATTTTTAAATTTCTCGCTTACAAATACATCATACAGAAATAAATATTATTTAGTTGTATGATACTGATCTTTAAAGTTAAATATGTTTTATCTAATGGAACGAAAAGCCCTTAGAGATTTGTTCTGAATTGTGATTAATTTCTGGTCAGGTGTGGTGGTTCACACCTGTAATACTAGCACTCTGGAAGGTCACTTGAGTTCAGGAGTTTGAGACCAGTCTGGGCAACATGGTAAAACCCCATCTCTTCTGAAAATACAAAAAGTAGCAAGGCATGGTGCACACCTGTTCTCCCAGCTGCTTGGTAGGCTGAGGCACAAGAATCGCTTGAGCCTGGGAGATGGAGGTTGCAGTAAGCAGAGATCAGACCACTGCCTTTGAACCCAGGAAGCAGAGTGAGACACTGTCTCAAAAAATAAAATAAATAAATAAAAATATAAATAAATAAATAAATAATTGTGGTTAAATTCAGTTTTTATATCTATTTTGGCAAAGTTTTCAGCTCACCTTGATTTATTAGGCTTCCTATAATATCATGATCCTACTTTGAATATTTTATTTATAAAATATATATCTCCTTCTGAAGAAGACTATGTCACTTATTTGAAATATAGGAGTTATAGGAGTTACATTGCCCTGAAGAAAATAAGCCTCTATGTTCCTTCATTGCTGAAGACAGAAGGAGATTTGATTTCAGCAAATAATTAGGTACGAGGAAGAGCCTTTCTACTTGGTAAAGTCGTTAAATGCTTTTGTGGGTTATGATATTTTTTTCTAAAAATCTTTAAAAATTTTATCTGAATGCTGTGGCTTATTGGTAGTAGTGTGTAAATACAGGAAAAAACTAATGACCTCAAGATTTCTTTGGCCCTACATAGAAAAAAAATATATTTGGTTAATGAGAATATGGAACCACAGAAGTGAAACCTGGTCATTTACACACCACACCACAGCCTCGTTTCACTAAGAACTTGAGGAAAACAATTTGGTGTACTGCTTTTAGTGTTTGTTTCAAAGTGATTTTATTACAATTTCAAAATGATATAGAAAAAGAAATCTATTGCCATAGTCACACAATTTCAAATAAGGACTTCTTTGTAAAAAGACAGCTTTTATCATTATTCATGTTACAAAAAAAATCCTTGATATATATACAACTATGTATAGTGATATACAGTGTAATATACATACTACAGTATTTTTAATGGAATGGAAATACTATAGTATACAGTGTAATATACATACTATAGTATGTATATTACATACTATAGTATTTTTAATGGAATGGAAATACTTGTAATTTTAATAGAATGAAAGCAGAAAGTCAATTAAGAGTCCACTACAGAAAATACAGACAACATGAGAAGACATTAGGGCATATATTCATTGAAGTATTGGCAGGATGTCATGATGGTTACCTCTAGGCTTTCAGATAGAATACCTATGTAAAAGGTAGAGCCATTACCTATAGTGAAAGAGCTATACATTTGGGAGATGAAATCATTATTCTGGTTTTGAATGACATATCTAGTGGACAATTGTATGTACTAGTTTGGACTTAAAAGATTCAGAGTTCAGCCAGATATTAAAATTTAGTATTTATGAACAAACAGAAGTTATTTAAAGCCATTGGGTTGGGAGAGGTTCCAGGGTTCGAGAGTAGAAATAGAAAATATAGAAGTTCTTGTAGCAGAGCCTTGGAAAACTCCAACATTTAGAAGCCAGAAAGTGTGGAAACAAGCAAAGAATCTGAGACAGAGTAGCCAGATGGGAAGAAGAAAGAGCAGAGGAGTGGAAAAAGTTAAATAATGACTGTGTTCAAGAAGAAGGTCATCAGTGGTGATATGTAGTATATAAAAGGACTGGACTTACAGAACAAAGGGAATTATACCAGGCCTGAAGACTCACATGTTTATCTCATAGCCCAACTGTAATTCAGGAACCAACATGAGAAACAAATTATTTTCAAGGACAGTCATAAAGAAAATGACAGTATAAAAAAACAATGTTCTCAGAGCTGTTCTTACACCAAAGTATCAAGTCCAGCCAAATCAACACCTGTGGGGGTAATGTTCTTTCTTATTCTGCATCAGAATAATTCCAAATACAAGTGTTTCTTTCTCTAAAGAAGTTAATGTTGTAATGTACTGTTTAGGTTTGAAGTCAAACCCTACCACATACTAGTTCTGTGCTTGAAATATTTTTTTGACTTCTAGGACTTAGGAGATTTACAAGGCCTACGCACTGCACATGTTATCGTGCTCACCTCAATGTCACCCTCTATACTTCCAAATGAAACCAATCTAAAACCTAATATAAGTGAGGACAGTCAGCACAATTTTGACTGTTCCTTTATAATCACTTTGATTCTTCTAAAAACTTGCTGAATTTTAAATTTTTTCATTAGAAGTGAAATATTTCATTTGGTGTTCCAACTCATCTTGCCCTATCTCTGAAATATTTCAGCATTCTTTAACTAACTATAAGCCACAAGTTCATTATCGATAAAATGGCTAATAGAGTACATATACATTATTTTTAATATGGTTCTGGCACATAGTAAGCATTTAGCAAATGTTAGCTATCATTAATTTACCATTATTACTATCATCTTCATTGTTTTTGGTTTTTTGGTTGTTGTTTTTTTTTGAGATGGAGTTTCGCTGTTGTTACCCAGACTAGAGTGCAATGGCATGATCTCGGCTTACCGCAACCTCCACCTTGTGGGTTCAAGCAATTCTCCTGCCTCAGCCTCCCGGGTAGCTGGGACTACAGGCATGCAGCACCATGCCCAGCTAATTTTTTTTGTATTTTTAGCAGAGACGGGGTTTCATCTTGTTGACCAGGATGGTCTCGATCTCTTGACCTCATGATCCACCCGCCTCGGCCTCCCAAAGTGCTAGGATTACAGGCATGAGCCACCGCGCCCGGCATTGTTAATAGCATCTTAAAGGATTGAGCACTAATTTAATAATGTACATAAATACCTAGCATGGTAATCAACACAGTGTAGACAATAAATAACTTTTTTTTTTTTTTAGCTTTCATGCCCGTTCCTGCACTTCACCACAGTCCTCTCAAATTAGCCAAGCATGGTCGCACACACACCTGTAGTCCCAGCTATTTTGGAGGCTAATGTGGGATAGGAACACCTGAACCCAGAAGTTTTGAGGTTACAGCAAACTGTGGTCACGCCACTGTACTCCAATCTAGGCAACAAAGCAAGACCTTTTCTCTGAATTAAAAAAAAAAAAAAAATGAGATTTTTAATGTGAATTTTTAAAAAAGGTGTTTTGAGAGACAGATGTAATTCACATAATTAAAGGAACCTGGTAGAGAAGATGCCAAGGCAACCATGAATTTTTCTCTTATACAAATTACTTAAAAATAACCTGGAGTAGAGAGACTTCATTGATTCAGATTGAGTTATCATGAAGAAATAATGATCTGGGTATATTTCAACCCGGGAAGAATGAAATTATGGAAATATGATTTTTCACTTCTAAAAGACCATGAAATTTAAAGATCCATTTAATATTATCATTACACTTTGTTTTAACTTGGTGACAGCAAATTAATAATGATTCATTTTCTCTTAGGGATTACCTGCAAGTCGTGTGAGGTATAGAGTAGATGATGTTCAGTTTCCTTATCCTGCCAGTATTTTTGATGTGGAAGAAGATTCTGGAAGAGTAATAACACGAGTCAATCTTAATGAAGAACCTACAACAATTTTTAAGGTCAGTGTGTCTTTTCAGTATGTAGTCTATTTGATGTTTAATTTTGATAGAGAATTTGGCTTAACATATGACAGCACATTTTTTTTTATTTTTTCTCCTTTTTAATTTTTTTAAATTACAAAACTTTTTTTTCTCTTAGAAATATACAAAATAGTAAAAAGAAAACCACTTGTTATCTCGCATCTTGGAGACACCTAAAATTTGCAATTTTGATCTCTATCCTTATGATGACATTTCATATAATCACAAATACGTAAATATGTTTTAAAATAATATAGTCTCTCCTGCCTCAGCCTCTTGAGTAGCTGGGATTACAGGCAGGCGCCACCATGCCCAGCTAATTTTTTATTTTTTTTTTTAGTAGAGACGGGGTTTCACCATGTTGACCAGGATGGTCTCGATCTCTTGAACTCGTGATCCTCCCACCTCAGCCTCCCAAAGTGCTGGGATTACAGGCTTGAGGTTGTGGTGAGCTGAGATCATGCCATTGCACTCCAGACTGGGTAATAAGAGCAAACTCTGTCTCAAAAAATAAATAAATAAATAAATAACATAGTCTCATTATTTATACTACTTTTAAAATTCAATAATATATTGTCTATGCCAATAAGTAACATTAATGCTATTATTTTAGTGGTTTCATGATATTTTACTATAGGAGTATAACATTATGTTTTTCTTTTTAATATAATACTGAGTTGCTTTATAATAAGACTGTTTCCATTTTTTGTTACAATAATAAATGCTATCTTGCAACTACTTATATGAATATCATTTTCCCTTACTGATATTTTTCTTAAGATAAGTACTCCTGATATATTATAAATACCCCTTCCTATGTATTCTTCATCTTTCCTATGAGTATTCATTATCCTAATAGCCACTCTACACTGGATGTTGTTATATTAATCTTTGCATATATCTAGGAAAATATTATAGCTATTTGATTTTTTGTCCAATGTTACTTTTTCTTCAAATACTAATAAATTAGGACATATTCTCTCTTTGTACATATTTAAAAATATTGTTGACAATGCTTGTTTCTACATGTCAGGAAAATATTAAAAATACATTTTACATTACTGTAAGTAGACTATTTCATTAAGTGTTGGAACATTTCCATCTTTGATAGTTACTCAGAATAATTTTTGTCACTGTAAATAAAGCCTTTGACTCTACAGTAGGGAAATAGCTTTATCAGTTAACCACATAAGTATCAGCGAGAACTATGTTTCTCATGGTTTTACCACTGTTTAGAATAGCTGATCTGTTTGTAAATTAGCATTAACCCAAAGGTCAGTTGTTCCTCTCAGGATGATCCTTGGTTACAGTCTTCTGTGGGTTGAATTAGTTTATATTGTTAACCTACAGCTTCCAAAATAATTTATATTCCAGAGTAGCATACAGTTTTGAAAGTATTTAACATGTCTTAAAGTAAACAGAATTACTTTGATGTAATATAGGTTATTAAAGAAAATCATCAATTATAAATCCTGTTGCAGTAATAAATAATATCAGACATCACAACGCTGAAGCTTTTTCTTAGTTTTCATCATTTGAACCATTTCTGCTATACAAGTTTTCATCATTTGAATGATTTCTGCTATATCAAAATGGACTTAGTCTTATAATTTGTTTTTAAGAGATATTATACCAAAGAATGTTAAACTATAAAGATTTCTAATTTTATCCTCTAGAGTGAAGTGTTTCTGCCCTGTAATCTCAGAAACAATTAATTCATTAGAAAAATTAATTTTTTTGAGCAAGCTAATTAGCTCTATGCTTTTTATGTGATTGAATTTAACACTTTTTTTTTTTTTTTTTTTTTTTAATTTTTATTTTTTTATTTTTTTTAATTTTTTATTGGATTATAGGTTTTGGGGTACATGAGCAGAGCATGCAAGACAGTTGCGTAGGTACACACATGGCAGTGTGCTATAAGTATATTGGTGCTATAAAATCGTGTATTTACTGTGGAATTGCAGCAATGAGTTTTCAATGGGAGAGATATAGTATAATATACTTGTTTTAATGGTCTTTTTTTAAAATCATAGTTAGTTACTTTATTGAGTATTATCATCTGTCTAGTAAAAATAATAACATTTACTTGGCTGGAGTATTGTAAAGATTAAGTGAGGACGTAGTATATTCTAGCATGTATCTGCCACCTGGTAGGCAGTGAGGAAATGATCATTGCTCCCCATCCTATGACCAGGAAATCCATTACTTAAAAACATACATATAAAATTATGCTATTATGTCATTCTCATTTATAATAGTTAACTGGAATTTTTACTGCTCTTTAAGTTGGTGGTGGTTGCTTTTGATGATGGGGAGCCTGTGATGTCCAGCAGTGCCACAGTGAAGATTCTTGTCTTACATCCTGGTGAGATCCCACGCTTCACACAGGAGGAATACAGGTATTGATTTCTGCCCAATTTTGAAATACATAAAATATGTAGGGCATTTTTGAGAGGAGTCTCTCAAAATTGATATAATATGAATTTATGAGTAGAATTCCCATTTTAGTTTAAACATTTCTAAATTAACATATATTTTAAAATTGTAAATAGTTAATATGACAGTTTAATATAAAATGTTTTAGTAATGGTTTGATGAGTAATGGATAGTTTAAAAATAATGAAAACTTAGAAAAACACTATTGTATTTTGGGGTTTTAATTCTGATTAAAAATGTTTTAGTAATGGTTTGATGAGTAATGGATAGTTTCAAAATAATTCATGCAAACTTAGAAAAATACAATTTTGTATTTTGGGGTTTCAAATCTGATTAATAATCTGAATGGTGAGAAGTAGACTTTTAGTTTCTCATTATTGCCAGGTAGAACATGTCATTCAATTGCCAAATTTGGCATGTAATCTGCAATGACATTTTTCATCTAATCAGTGTGTATGTGTTTATGTGTTTGTTTGTGTGCGTACATATATAGTGTGTATGTATGTGTATATATATAATGTGTATATATAAATTTATACATGAATATACTCTTATATATATACTATATATACACACATATAACACATATACATTTTTATATATACCATATGCATATACACCAATATTATATTACACATTATAGCTTATGGTTGATGTATATATCGTGTTAGTCACCTGAGGCAGCCATAACAAAATACCATAAACTGGGTAGCTTAAACAACAGAAAAGTTATTTTCATATTGTTCTGGTAGCCGACAATCCAAGTTTAAGACCCAGGGTGGCTGCAGGATCAGGTTCAGGCTCTCTTCCAGTCTCACGGCCTTTTTGCCATGTCCTTACCTGATATAGAGAGAAAGCGAGCTCTCTGGTGTCTCTGGAAACAAATAACTGCATGAAAAATGTAATACACTGTGAAAACACAGTGGTGGAAATAAGATCACAGTATTGAGGAAGCAGGCTGAAGAGACACTTAACTATGTTGGAATATGATTAACATGGTTTTAATCTGTACCTTGAAGGAAATGTAAAGTTTAGTCAATCCAAAAAGATGTAGACAGATGTTGCACACTGAGTAATCAGCATATGCAGAAATATAAAAGGGTGTGGGAGTCTACATTAATTTCCAGAATATTTTAGTAGTTTTGTCTATCCAAAGAAAAATTGAAAGGTGGAATATGATAATAATTGAGGATAATGAATAATGAATATTTCAGATAATGGAGAACTTAATCATGTTCTAGGGTGATTTTAGTGTTTTATAATTTCTTAAAATACTTTTAAGCTAGAAAGGAGCTAAGGTACTGAGGGATAAGGTAGGTGAGGGACACATCTACACTTAACACACTGAACCAAGCAGTTTTACCCTTTCATACAAGGCTGCTTTTAGACAAATCTACACAAAATTAAATTATGTAATATAATTACCAGAAAATCCTCCATAGCATGTATGTAAATCATTGAGATGTAAACCATATGTAGAACAAATAAGAATTCTTGTTTAATCTATTTTAAAAGGTTATTTTAAAAGGTTATTCTTGCCCACATGTATATTATCATCTGTTCATTTCCTTTTTTCTCACATAGTGACATGTGCTTCTAATCCTTTGGAATTGATTCTAGTTCTTTGCTATGGGATACAGTAATCCCTCCTTATCCACAGTATCATTTATCACAGTTTGTTGCCTGAGGTCACCTGTAGTCAGAAAATATTAAGTGGAAAATTCCCAGAAATAATTCATATTTTAAATTGTATGCCATTCCCAGTAGATTGATGACATCTTAGGCTGTCGGGCACCAGCCTGCCCTGAAGCTGAATCATTCCTTTGTCCATTGTATCCAGGCTGCACATCAGTTACTTAGTATCGTCTGGGTTATCAGATTGAAAAAAAAAAAAAAAAGTAAATATAGGCTTTGGTGTCATGTGAAGCTTCAGGCATCTACTGGGGAGTCTTGGAGTATGTCCCCCATATATAAAGGAGGACTCCTGTATACAATTTTCTGCTTTTGAAGAACTTCTCTGGATGTGTTTATTTTGATGTTCTCAAGAACCGGATGAATATAAACTCACTTTCTCACTAACTTATCTAGATCAGGTTTTCTCAAAAAATATACCTACTCTTCTAAGTGGATACAAAAAACACTCACAGTTTCAACTTAAAATTCCCATCAGTGTTCTTCAAAGCCCCTTGCCCCAAGTCTCATTATCTTTGGAAACTCCAAGAGAAGAGGAAAGTGATCTAATGCTTAAACTTCCTCTTTAAATAAACTTAAGTGGTGTCTTGTTTCTCTAGGTTTTCATTTAGAGCTCATTTCCTTGTTAATAGAAATGTGCCTCCAGGCCTCTCTTTTAGCTAAAATATTGTGGCATCGAGGCCAAGGTCATAGATTGAAACAGGGCATTGCTCATTTAATTTTCTTTATTAAGTATCTTTGCTTAATGCACGTTTTAAAAATGCAAATGTGTTGTTCAACGTATAATTTACCATTTTGTACCATCTCTGCACAACTGTTAACTACAAATAGACTCTCTTAATAAAGTTGTTGTTAATTTAGAGAACAAAAATTATCTAATTATATGGCACTAAAATTAACAGCAGTCACTTGGATACATGTGGGAGAATTTCAATCTTCCAGAACTTTTCTGATAATTACAAAATTACCCTTGATTATCCCAGTTCATTCAGTATTCTGAGTTATAAAGATAATTTGGTAATCCTTTTGCATCCTACCATGTGTTCATAATATGCACAACTGTACACACATAACTCCCAGAGATGCTAGGAATCAGTATCTTGATCACGGTGCATTTAGTAGTTCTTGAGTACTTAAATGGATTAATTTTTAAGAAATAACCATATAATTTGAAAAATAAATGTCATACCAAATATGAACAAGGGCACTACTTTTTGGATAAATGCAAGTAATTGAATTTAAATGTTTAAATAGGTCTAAATTCGAACCAAAATTTTAACTGAACTATAAAGAAACTTAAGATTAATGATCATCTTTTTCAATTAACTCTTCATTCCTTTGAAGATCATTGAGTAAATACATAGTAGTGTCTGGATGAGTCCTAAATTTTTTTTCTCATGGGCAAACAGCTGGATTACATTTCCCCTCCATACTTACTAGGGGTAAATTCTGAACTCTGCCATTTGGCTGAATTCTGGCCAATAAAATATAGAACTAAGTGGTCTACATCATTTTCTGAGCAGGCTTAGTCCTATTAGCTAATAATTATATTGTTTCAACTAATATACGTTTTTCAACATTTTATTAGGACCAACAATTAATTGTATATTAATCGTATTTAAAAATCATTCTCATTTGTATTACAGTATTTCCTTGCTTGACATTTTAAAAACCATATTCATGGTAGAATATTTTTATTTTTGTATGGTATTTTCTTTTAATATGTTCAGTTGCTAGCTTTGGCTATATGCCTATCCCATTTCAGGTTGCTTTGGAGGCCAACACACTTTCCTTTCTTAACGAAAAGAAAAGTGAAGCACAGAATGGCTTCTGCAAACCTCATCTACCTCATTCCCTCTCTAATTTTTTCAAATTCATTTTACTGCCTCAACTGGATGTACATAATTTCCAGTAATGCTAAATAACATTATTAATATTTGATTACTAGGATGGTCCTTTGGGTTGGGATTACTCCTAGTGGAAAAACTTCTACTTCTGTAATCGAATCTGGGGGAAACATAAAAATGATAGCTCAAGATTTCTGTTCTTTGTAGAGTGTAGCAGAAGGTAATGTGTTACAGATGGAAAGCAGAACTCTAAGTAGCTCTGTAAGCTTAGCTACACATGGTTTTTACATCTCAGGAATATGTTCACTCCAACATTTGTGTTTGAATTCCATAGGAAAAATAGCATTTAATAAATGGTTATGTATAAAAGAGAGATTTTAAAGATAAAATATTTATTTTTCTTAGAATATTTAACTGAATCATTGACCCATATCTCCCTTTCCCTTCACTGACGGTTGACTTTTTTCTATTAGATAGTCATTAAATCATTAAATCTCAGGGTAATCAGATGGAGTTAGGGTAGTTTAGGCCACTGTAATAGGAAACCACCAAATTTCAATGGTTTAAAGTTCAGGGACAGGGGCCAACTAAGTGGGGGCATCTTCAACGTTCTGTTTCAAAATAAGTCGTCATTACCATTTTAGCTAGGGGAAAGGGGAAAAGAGGCACATCTAGAGATTTCCTTAACCAAGTAAGATGAGAATCGCAAATTTTAGTTCAGCTCACATTTCATGTGGGAATCCAGCTACAGGTCTACATTTAGCTCTGAGGAGGGGAGAGGAATGCTGTTCCTTGCTGGGCAACTGCGCCGTAGTTCAACCTCAATTGTTGAAAAGCGGGAAATGATGTTGGTGAAGACCTAGGTCATAAAGCATGTGACTGTAAACAGTTTACAAATTTATAGATTTAATCACCATAGTGATTTTAAAATGACTGGTTAGTTAGAATGTACAGTTGGGTACATATGCTAATGATATAGTAGACCAGAAGCATTTTTACTTTTAAATATGTATTACTGAAGTAAATTGTTCTTAAAATAACAAGAGAATGTTTTTTTTTTAATTCAAAGCACACTTCAGATTAACATTTCCGGTTGTTTTAAAAAAACCTTTATCTCTAGTGATTTGAGTTTAACAAGCATTAACATTACATATTACAGATCAAACCTTTCTGGACTTCACAATAAAGATAGGATATTTGATATAATTAATTACCTTCTCCAGTTTGCTGAGAAGTTTTAGCGTCTTGGTCACAAAAGTAAAAGAAAAAGAAAATAATACTGAAAGCAAAATGGCAAAGTATAAATGTGAGTCATGAGCTGAAAACTAGTATCGTGAAGACCATCAAAAATGTTTGAGAGTCTGCATTTACTATTTGGCATAACATTTTTCAATATACCAGTTCTAACTAGACAGAGAAACAAA